CAGATCAGATCAGAAAGATTCAGATCAGACCAGAAGGATTCAGATCAGATCAGAAACATTCAGATCAGATCAGACCAGATCAGAAACATTCAGATCAGATCAGAAAGATTCAGATCAGATCAGATCAGATCAGAAAGATTCAGATCAGATCAGATCAGATCAGAAAGATTCAGATCAGATCAGATCAGATCAGAAAGATTCAGATCAGATCAGATCAGATCAGAAAAATTCAGATCAGATCAGATCAGAACTTAAAAAATTCAGATCAGAAACATTCAGATCAGGCGAAGAGAACAGCTTCTAATAGATTTCAAAATTCAGAGAAACAAATGGACCCGGTGCCGTCCTTTTTTCTCCAAATTTGGGGGGCAATTGTTGGGTCATGATTATTTCTTAAGTGAAGCGGCCCATAGTTGTTGGATCCATGTATATGTGTGAGGGTAAGTAACCGAGCCCAAAAGAATAAAAGGAAACAAAAGAAGGTTAAAGAACAAAGAGAAAAACGGAAATAGAAAATCAGGCCCAACTTGATGAAAGTGAGAGCAGTAGTCGTCAGCAGAGGTGCTCCATAGTCTATATCGAGAAAATCGGTTGATATTCTAGTTGAAGTGGAGAACACCTGGAAACAAAGAAGGATTTTACGGTCAATGAAGGAGTATTAAATAAGCATAACTTTGCAAAGTATTACTAAAAAACCCGGCTGTATCAAATCAAATAAGCGTGACTTTGCAAAGTACTTCATCCGTCCCATTAGACTTTATCAACTTTCTCTTTTTTGTTATCCTCAAGGTTATCAAGATCGCGATTAAGATCGCTAACTCGTACGATTTTATGACTTAGGGTTGTAAGGTCGAGCTGGATCATGCCTAAGATCAAAAAACGCTAGGAGATCGCTGGATCGACGATTAAACTCGTAAAAACGTAGGATCGTCGGTCTCAGTCGATCTCATGCCTAGGAAAGAATGCGGCTCTATCTTGGCCTGGGAAAATGAGAAACGACACATGTTTTCAATTTTTTTTACTCCCCAGGCAACGTACCTGAGCGACACCTTCAGTGTCGCCTACTTCGATAAAATCTTTGTCTCATCTCCAGTTCTCTGTATAATCTTCTTTCAAGTTTCAAGTCCTCTCCAGTTCTTCGTCCCTCCTCTCTATTTACTTTGTTTATTGATAAGCACAAGCCGCATAACTTTAATCTGTTTTGAAGATGTCTTTTTAATTAATCTTAAGCTCGTGATCCTAAATTGCTAAGTGTTGTATTTTATATCATTAAAAAATGAGTAAATGACATTATGTTATTAATTAATTAATATTTTAAAAGTTTTAAGTTTAAATATTATGTGTGTGTATGTGTATATGTATACATACACACACACATATATATACACACTAATATTCCTGTCCAGAATTTCCGGACAGGAGGGCCGTCCGGCCTCCTCCATTTGGGGGCCTTCCCGGTGATAGTTTTTGCTCAAATATTTGTTGTAAATTCCTCATCAAGTCTAGATCATCCATACCAAATTTCAGCCACAAATTCAATCGGGAAGGTCATCAAATGATTTTTGCAAGTTAACTGATCCGGAATATGTAATTTCCGGATTAGTTAACTTGCAAAAATCATTTGACGACTTTACCGATTGAATTTTTTGCTCAAAATTGGTATAGATGAACAAGACTTGATGAAGAACACACACAAAAAATTTGAGCAAAAATTAACACCGGGAAGGCCCTCAAATGGAGGAGGCCGGACGGGGTTCCGGTCAGGAAATTCCTGACCGGAATAGCACTCTATTTTTTTTAACCCGGTAGGTAAATCACCAAAATCAGTGGGGTAGATGCCGGGGAACATCTACCAAGTTTTATAAAACTCAAGCAAAAAATACATGGGGGGACCAAACCTTAACCCACAACAATAAGAGTAAATAAATACAATGAGAATAAGAGCTAACAATCTATAGAAAAAATAAGGCACCGAGCTCCTATCCAAATTGGTTGCTCCCAATAGTTCATTGGGCACATTGTTCCCCATCCGCCATGTAAAAATCTCCATAAAGCCCAATTTAGCTACAACCATAGCTGCCAAATTTGCTTGGGCTGGTATATCATGAAAGGAATCCACCGTCAAGGCCCAGCCTCGATCTGTCTATCTCCCTTGAATAGTTGAATGTAAATAGGAAACATCCACTTCCAAATTAGGAAGTTGAAATGTTTCAGACCACCGAATCGCCCGGTACAACACCTCATCCTCTCTATTTGTCGAACCACTCAACGGAAAATCGTCTACCGCCACCATCGCTCCAGCATGATCTCGCAGAAGGATCCAGCAGAAGACCTTCCATTTTGCCTGAAGATTGCCCAACTAAGCTTGACCTTCGAGTAAGTCGGCTTCCTCCACCTGAAGATTTGAGGTTTTCTTGTCTTGAAAGAGTGAGGTAATAACCCTACATCTTTTAGCCTTTCATTTCCTCTAAGATTGTCATTTGCCCAGCACCAGTTGAACATAAACTTGCAAATCTGCTTAATAATCATCTCCTTCTCAAATAATTCATCTTTCCAGATATAATTCCAATCAGATATAATTCCAATGAGCTTTCTATAAGTGCCAAGTTATAACTCCTGGCAGAATAATAGTGTATAACTTATCCATCGTTTTTCCTTTCACACTAATCCACCATTTCATTAACTGAAGTTTAATTGTGTTGGCTTTTCCTTTCCCTGTTAACAGTGTGCATGTGAAGAAACTCCATACAGAATCTGCTATAGGACAAAGCAACAGAAGATGATCCTCCGTTACTTCTGCTTTTCTACAAAACGGGCACATAGACGTATATATTGCCGCAAAGGAGGCCACATGTTCAGGAAATGGTAGCCCCTTATGCCAAAGTCTCCAAAGGAATACTCTAATTTTTGGTATCTGCCTATGGTGCCAGATATGAGTATTTGATAAAATCTTCCCTCCTTGTGGCCTTAATGCCATATAAGCCGATTTGGATGTAAACTTACCATCCGTAGAGTGTTTCCAGCTTATTGAGTTAGGACCCCTGACCACCATTGCCTTAGCCTCCTCATTTATGAGGCAAATTCTTCTCCACGTTGGAGAATCAGTTGGCTTGACCTCACCAACCATCCTCTTCCCATAAATACTCTGTTTTCTCAAACACAATCAATTATTGTTCATTTTTTCAATTATACCTTTGTTTTCCACTGCACCTCTGTTTCTGGCTGTAGCTCCTTCTCCGTTTCTGGGCTGTAGCTCCTTCTCCGTTCACAGGTGTGTCCTTTGTCGCACCTCTCTCGTCATTCGCACCTACATCATTCAGACCACCATTCCGGCCGCACCTCCATTTTCAGCTGCAGATCCTTCTTCGTTCGATGGTGTGTCCTTCGTCGCAACTCCGTTTTGGGTCGCAGCTATATATCCCGTCGCCCCTCCATCTAAGATAAAAAATGTGAGAAAACCATCAATTGATCAATTAAAAAGAAAAAAAAAGGTTGGGAGAATGGGATATCTCATAACAGAGAAGTCAAGGAGAGAAGAGGGACTGACTTTGAATGCACATGGGTGAGGAGGGGTAAAATGCTCAGTAAAATTATACTACGTAGGTGTTTATAAGGTGTATCCCCGGGTGTAACCCAGGGTGTACACCAAGACCTTTTGAAAAAAGTCTTCCATCTAAAGCATATGAAATCACTCCTTCCAATGTTTCAATATTTAATGCTCTTGGCCTATTTCATTGATTCACATGAATGAATTAAAAACTAGATAAAAAATCTCCAAATAATCTAGGGGTGAGCATTCGGTCAGTCGGTCAAATAACCGACCGATAACCAAATAACCGACCAATATTTTTACTCTCATAACCGACCGAAAATCGACTGACAACATTACAAAAACCGACCAAAAATGTCATTCGGTTTCGGTCGGTAACCCAATAACCGACCATAACCTTGAAAGGAGACGCAACCTCTTTGGTATGAGTAGTACTATTAATCCTCTTTAATTAATCTTGAGTATTACATGTCTGGTCTGGGATAGATTACGGTCCAAGTAAAAACATCCTAAATATTGTTTGTATCGTGTTAAATAATGATATGTATTGTGTGTAATGAAATATGAAACTAAAAAACTATTAATATTATGTTGCCAGACAAAAATGAATGTATATCGACGCATATATTGTTTCAGTGTTTGTGTACAAAGGCAAAAAAGTCTAGGTTATATTGCACCAAAACAAATGTATGTGTATACAGACAAAAATTGTATATGTACAAACATCTTTTTGTCTATACAGACAACTAGCAACTAATGTACGTGTACACTAACATTGATTTCTGTGCAACCAAATTGACAGACCTGCAAAAAAAAAATACATCAATCAACAAATAAAATTTTGTTCACACCGACAATTTCTCAAAAGTGTCTATATTTATACTTTTTTTTGTATGTGCAAATGGAAGGAATAAAGAGGTACTCAAGGTGTAATAGAGGTTGAACATCAAGGCTGATTGTTAGAGGAAATGGGAGAAAGAGGAGTAAAAGTGAAATGGTAAAAAATAAGGTATATATTTTTGAGAAATGACAGGTGTACACAAGTTGTACACAACTTGTACACAAAATGTGGGTCACAGACAATTGGTACGGAGTTGCCTGTGAGCACAGACAAGAATTGTCTGTGTACACAGACAATTCTTGTCTGTGTCCACAAACATTTACTTTTCGTTAGTATAGTTTTTACAAAAAAGTAAATGTTTGTGGACACAGACAAATTTGTCTGTGTACATAGACAATTCTTGTCTGTGCTCACAGGCAACTCCGTATCAATTCTCTGTGACCGACATTTTGTGTACAAGTTGTGCCGCTAGCATTTCTCTATATTTTTTGGGTCCACTTTGTGTGCAAATAGCAAAATTGTTGATTTAATTTTTTTATGTTATCTTATTATCTCAGCCTTAAGTGCTGGCTTCATTCCCCACCATACGAGCAGTGTGGCTCAAAACGAAAGCCAATCATAGGGTTTTTGTGCATCTCAAAGACTCGGACGGTAACAATGGAGCTGACGGCGCAAGAGCTGAACCTGTACAACGGCTCCGATCCGTCGAAGCCAATTTACGTAGCGATTAAGGGCCGCATATTTGACGTCACTGCCGGCAAGTCTTTCTACGCTCCCGGAGGAAGCTACGCCATCTTCGCCGGAAAAGATGCCACCAGAGCCCTAGCCAAGATGAGCAAGGCTGAGGAGGATATCTCCCCTTCAACCGAAGGGCTATCTGAGAAAGAAATTGGGGTCCTCCAGGACTGGGAGAAGAAGTTTGAAGCTAAGTATCCTGTCGTTGGCCGTGTTCGTACATAATCTTCCTAATTTATTTCTACACCATTTACCATAAGCTTCAGTTATATGTATTTAAAAAAGAGATGATTTGATGGAATTGATGCTATTCGGTTGAAATGTGTGCTTAACTTATTGGTGTATCTTCATAATCATCTGATGCTGTAATCTCATGAACAATGGCTTCTTTGCAATCGATAATCTGAATGTTACCTCTTCTCTGCATTAAACTGAGATGGGAAATCAATTCACTTCAGAGTCTGAATTTTCAGAGACCAATGGAACATGATAACATGATTTATAGCTTAGACTCAGGGGTTGTTTGGTTCAGGGAATTCGGAGGGGAGGGAAAAGAGGATTGGTTTTTATTTCATTATTAATGTATCTCTATTTGTTAGATTCAGACTAGAAATTACTATATGATTTGGTTAATGTTTGTTTTAACTTCACTTGGGTATCCAGTCTCAACCATTTAAGTATGCAAATAATTTAAATCATAAATATGCCCCCCCTCCCTTTCCTCCCTTCTGGAATTCCCGAATGAAACAGGCTGTAAGGAGATATCTGAAACTGTAATTGCCTGTCAGGGTAGTGTTGGTTGCTATTTGCTAACTTGCATTGTTCTACTTGTCTGTGCTGTCAAGAACTTGTGCATTTGGTTTGGTGTCTTGGACTCTATTTAAAACCCGAAATTGCCAGGTAAAGAACGTGCCGAACTCAATAGGTCAAGTTAAGATCTTTGTTCAAACTCATTTTAAATTATCTTTGTAAAGACTAAGAAAGATGAGTGTGTGTAGAGTTACAATCAAATTTCATTTCATTTTCATATTTTCCCAGGCAAAACCAAACATGAAAAGCTATATGTTAAGTTATAATCAGATTTGATTTAGTTTCATATTTTCCCAGGCAAAACCAAACATGAAAAACTATTTTCCTTTGCATTATTTTTGTTTCCCCATCTTTTTTCTTATTCCCTACACAGCCTTTACATTGGATCCTAGCTTATTGACAGGTCTTACTTGAAAAGTTTTTTCTGAATGTGCGCTACTTCTGTGGTGTGCATATGTGCACATCTAATGAAGCACATATATTTCTGAGTCTTGATCTCTCAGTTATCCTTCCATTTACTTCAGTTACAATAGTTTTTAGAGATGTGTCCACATTTACTTCAGTTCATTTACTTCACCAATAGAATATGCGTAGTAGTAATGGATGGAAATATGAAAATGCTTTGTGTACACATTTTGGTGTACACCTTTCGTACACTCATCTGCCTCACGCACACAGAATTGTCTGTCCACAGACAACTCTAAAAATGAAATGGTCACCTAGGGAAAAGTGTCAAATAAGCCCCTTTACTATATTGAAAATGTCAATTAAGCTCTCGAACTCAAAAAACACCAATTTAACACGGAACTATGACAAAACGTTCAAAAAGTTGTTTATCATGTAACCAACTGGTTACGAGATAAATTTTCACATGTGATGGCACGTGATGACACGTGTGTGAATTTTTTTTCTTTTTCATTTTCTTTTTTCTTTTGTGCTTGTCTTTTTTCTTTTCTTATTCTTTTTTCCTCCCAAGGTTTAAAAAGGCCGGTTCGGGTATCGAGACGGTTTGTTGCGGATAGGTGAGGCGTAAGCCTCAAGGCGTATTGAGGCGTAAGCCTCAAAATACACCAATAGACAAAACATATAATAGTTAAACTAGTGATAAACAACTAAAGAAATGGATAATTATAAGTCCAAAGAGTATCAAACACAAACACTAGTATAAACACAGATTTTCCTCATCATTGGTTAGGGATCATAATTTAAGGAGTCCATCTTTCATCTCGTAAAACCTTGACCAGTTCTAGGAGAAGATGACCAACTTCTTAGTACAAGAAGAAAGAGGAGAGAAGGAGAGGAATAAGAGAAGTAGAGAAAATAAAGAAGGAGAAGAGATGTAGGAGAAGAGGAGGAGCAAAAGAATGGATCGTGTGTAAGTTGTGTGAACTTTGAAGTAGTATGAAAACTTTTGTGTGCAGAAATATGCAAACATTTTAACTGAATACTTTAAATGAAAAAAGACTTGTTAGGGGTTTAGTTTGGACTATGGATACATGTTTAATGTATGGCCCTTTTTATTAAATAGTACATAAAATAATCCTGTCCTTTCTTAAGTCACAACCTATTAAAAATATAGAAACAAAGGAACTCACACCTCAAAAAACGTCTCAAGGCGCGCTTCAAGGCGTACGCCTCAACTTTTGAGGCGTAAGCCTCTTGACATGTGAAAAAAAAAACCAAAGTCCTGATACTTTCTCTATATGTCTCACCTTGAGGCGCGCCTCAAAATCCTCCCTGTAAGCGCCTTTTTAGACCATGCTTCCTCCAGTGGCGGACACAGAGGGGTGACAAAAGGGGGCTGCTGTTCCTCCAAAAAAAATCTAAGTATATTTACCCCGAAATTTTAAATGTATATGTATTTGTATGCTGGGTTATTTACTCGGCGAGTACTCGGTGAGTACTCCCTACTCGGCCTATGACCTTGCAGAGTAGCACATTACTCGGCCCGAGTTATTATTCCGAGTTACTCACCGAGTACTCGGCGAGTTAGCCAACTCGGTCAGTGGGTCAAAAAGGCGATTTACTCGGGAGTACTCGGTATTTAAAAAAAACATTACCTCCGCTTGGAAAAAAATTAAATTGAGATTATCCTCTGTGTGATTTCTTATTCTCCCACATGTTGCTTATTATATTCTTCTCTGTATACTGTAATAAACTCTAAGAATTTTGGATTGTTCTTCGTTTGCTTGTGCTTCGTAAACTGGTGTTTTCATTGTACATTTTCAAGTCTTTGGCCAACTAAAGTGAATATATTGAATGTACCCCTAAGACCTGAGTTGCTGAATGCTGAAATAAAATCTCTTAATTGAAAAGGTGAAAAATATAGCATAGCAAAAAAGCATCATGTTTGGTTTTGGGTGAGCTGCAATTTTCATTTAGGGAACTACCTTTGAGGACTCGTTGTTCGGTAGGTGCCACTTTGAAGTTACTTTGAAGTTCTTCAATTGGAATAAGAATAGGTGCCAAAAAACTGCAAAAAATATTTGCCTTTTCTTCCATTGCTCGTGCTTCTTGAAGTTGTATTCTGGTATTGTATACGTATTATATGCATTTTAAGACAATTTCTATCCTTTTATTCACTTCTAAACATTTTAAGACAATTTAAAGACAATTTTATTACTATATTTTAAGACCACTATATTTAAATATATTTTTTATATTTAATTAATACTAGGCCGAGTAATCACCGAGTAATCCCGAGTAATCGATCCTACTCGCTACTCGGCCCTTGACCGAGTAGTTACCGAGTACTTGATCCTTGTTCCTAATTAAATTATTTTTAGTAAATAAATTTTACATATTCAAAAACTACATTAAAAGTTTTATAAAGTCACATAAAGAAAAAAATCAAATTTGATAAAAGTTGGATATATAAAGGGCATGTTTGACATTCAACAAGTAGCGATTAGCGGATAGCGGATTGTCAATAGCGAATTCAGTCAGCGGGTTTGACTGACAGAATAAATTGGCGGGTTGTTAGAAGATTTTTGGTAATTTAGCTGTTTGGTCATAGAATTAGTAGAAAACACCATTTTTCAAAATGTCAACCCAAAACTCTCTTATTAGCAGCGCTTTCATTTCACCGTTTTCATCCAAATTCCATAACGCTAGTGCCAAACCGCTACTTACCAAACAATTTTTTCACTTGTTGAAAACGCTGAAAGTGGTCAAACCGCCATTTTTCGGCTGAAATGCCATTTACCAAACACCCCCAAAGTAAAAGATTAAAATCTTTTTATGTTGACGAGAAAATAGTGGACGAGAACCTTTATGGGGGACGCGGGTAGTATAACAATGCTGTATTTTCAATAATTTATTTAACTAACTTTTCAATTGAATTTTAAAATGAATGTTGATGGACATAATCTACACTTTATGGAGAAATGCTCACAAAATTTCATTTAAAAAAAAAATCACCCTGAAGCACCTCAAAGGAGGCTGCCTGATGGTGGTTCCAATCAGGAAGGCCTGACAAGAACATTTTCTCTACACACACATATATATCATTCTGGTATGCAAAATCAGTGGGTAAATGACTAAATATCGGGGGACATTTAACAAATTTGTTAATAATTAAAAACAGATAAAGAAGAAAAGAGTGTCATATAGCCTAAGCCTCTCCTCAAGAGGCATACCTCTTCACATTAAGTGAATGGCATATGTTGGCGTACATGTAGACGTATATGAAAAAAACATGCATGATGCATACATGAAATGTATAAATCTGAAATAGATCTAAAATAGATCTCAATTGCTCCCCTAACTGCATACGTAAGGAAGTTCATTTGCATCCAACTTAATCACTCCATATTCATCAACGGTAAGTTCTTTACCACATTTAAAAATGGTATTTTGGGGGATGGAAACCTGAGAGAAGAATTGCTGCTGTGTTTGTCTTTTTATGAATCTGCCGGAAGGATAATATCAACTTAGGCTTCCAACCTTTTATGATCCATGTCATAGCACCATGAAATTGCGTGATTAAGGTTTTTCAAATGATCTGATTGAAGTGTCCAAGGAAATGAGGAATAAGTATGGTTTGCCGCAACCAAGTCACCTTGGTGATTCCTAAGAATGAAGCCTCCAGAAATCCTTTCTTTTCTTTTAAAAAAAAGCCCAGTTAAGCTTCACAGATTGCATCCCCAGTTTTCTCCACTTCTCAGCCGAAGGTTTTTTCAGAAAAGCATGTTCAGGAATTAATTAAGCCCGCATGTCTTAAGAGAGAAGCATGCTGGAGCTTTTCGGTTTACTCTGCTGCTTAGATAATATCATCCATAGTTTTGTTGTTGCTCTTTGCCCACCATCTAAATTCTAAAGCAACCCTGTAACCCTGTTTAAAGGCAACACATGCTCAAGCGCAATTCTCCATCCATCTAAAAAGGAGAATTTGTAAAGTACATGCTTCCAAATCTCAACCGCAAAAAAAACATTTGTAAAGTACATGATCAAGCGCTGCCTCATCGTTTTTGCAGAAAGGACACATTGAAGGGAAAGCCACGCTAAACCTTGCAAGGTTAGATGGAAAAGGTAAACATCCATTCCAAAGCCTCCAGAGAAAAATACTAACCTTGGAATTTTGCATTGGGTGACATATAAAAGTTAATGAAATAGTGGATCCTGGGTGACTATGAATGGCTTTATAAGCAGATTAAGAACAGA